AATAATATTTTTCAAAACATGAATTCATAAAGTTGATTGATTCATAACGTGAGAAAACTAGTAATTTAATTCACAAGGAATCCTAAGCATTCATCTTACTCATAGTCGACGATAAATAAAAAAAATTATACTAAGCATTCACTGTGCCTAGAGTCAATGATGAATTAAATAATTATACATAATAAACTCTTTTTCAAAATAATAAAATCAATTCAAAAGTATGAAAACTTTCATTAAAACTACAGATAATTGTTAAACAAACACCATATCAATGTTGTGGCTCCACTCCTAACCTTAACAAAAAGGTTTAACAACTCATGATAAAAATATAAAATTGAAATATAATGATAATAAGGTGTGAATTTTCTACTCAACGGATCTCTTTAATATAGACGTAATGTAGGGTTTTCTCCAAGAAAAAGAAAATAGGAAATCTTAATAAAGAAAATTTACCAAAATCTGCCTTCCATATTTGCGTCAACTTGCAGTTCTATTTTGACCTAGTGCAATTCATAAATAATTATTAGATAAAACAATGATGGGCTTTAAGTCTTCTTTCCAGAGCCGCTGAGTTTGCACAATTTCGACATTCGGTTAAAAGTTTTGACCAAAACACTTGAGGTTGGTGCATAAACTTTCTTTTCCAAATTTAAATATGAAATTTCCTTTCTTCAAAATATATTCCCATAACGAATTTTGCTTGCTGAAAACACTTCTAGAATCCTCTATAAACAATCTCAGCCCTTGGAAGCACTTGGAGGCTCATTCTTTTGCGTGTTTCCTTTCTGTTGATCGATAGGTTGTCGCCATCGATCGATCAAGGTTACTGCAGGCTCCGAGCGAAGATAACTGGACTTTCTAATTTTGAAGTTGCTATTGGGTTGATCGATCGAAGGTCTAAATACTTTAATTGATGCTCTACTTTTCCTATCAAATAAAACATATAATAAGACTCAAATATTTTTATGTATTATAACGCCTCATGATCAACCTTCTACTCCAACAAATTTTTTTAACAATCTTCCGCTTTGATCTTCAGGACCAACCACAGGTTGTTATGGATATTAACTCTCCAACTCACTCCACGATCGACTGTTTTTGAGAATTAAATCCCTCATTCATCACACATAGTAGAAGTATCATCACATCATATCAACAAAAGCATATATGGTAATAACAATCATACACATCTATGCACAACACAATAATTTACATGATTCACTTAACTTGAGAGCTACGTTAATGGAAAAAGAGATTTCGCTATCATGAATCAAGGAAGAGAATATACAACTAGCTTTTAAAACCCCACTTACTCACTCATCATCTCTTTTGAGGCTACATCTATATACCTGAAATTACATACAGTCTCTCATTTCTACATAATCACTTACCTTTAAACCGCTTAGACTTTCCATTCTTTCGAATCTCTCACACCCATCTCTATCTATAGAGTTTTCAAACCCATTTTCTTGTTGGATAAGAATTCTCAAACTTGCCTACAAGAAGTTACAGTCTTCAACTCTAAAATAGTAGCCTAATACACCCAAACTTTATTTCCAAATCTTCAGCGTCTTTTCGCAAGTCTTATGGCTTCCAAAATAGATTAGGAACCCAATTAAACTGGTTTCAAATAACTTGAACTGGTTCCATCTTCATTCATTCCAATTGAACTGGTGCCAAATAACTTGAACTTGTTCACTTCTGCTAGAACATTACTCACATACCAAATTCGAGTCACAAAACCTAACATCACTAAGGTTGATGTAACTAATAATTTGTCTCTCCTATGTCATGATGGAGCTTCCTATATTTGGTCCTGATTAGTTGTATGAGAGAGGTCCAACACCTCGAGTCAAGTCTAATTGAAATGCAAATACAGACATATTAAAAAGGATAATACTTATTTACTCACCGGTGAGTACGTCATTTTTTCATTAATATGGTCCAATCACAAATGCACATATAGTCGGTGATTACAAAATCAGACAGTAATAAATAAAGAAATCAGGATGACTCAATTTATTCCAAAAGAAAGTTATAGTCCTTATTTATTAATTTTTTGATTTTATAGTTATAAATTATATGGGTATTTGTGATTGGAACATATTATGTAAATAGGAATAACTTATTTATTTATGAATAGGTAAGTATTATCCTATTAAAAATAACCAATTTTTAAGAGTCACATCTTTTTGACTAAATGGCTAAACCTCCAAAGGTAGTTGTGCAATTTTTAGTGCGGGCTGCTTATAAATTGGCCATTTCCATGTCTAATTTTGCAGGTACTTTTCTTCTTACTTGTCCTTGGTCTTCGATTTGGCAGTGTCGTACTCTCTCTAAGGTGCAACACTTTCTTTGGAGATGTTGTATGCATGCTTTGCCGGTTTGGGTAGCTTTGCTAGACCGAGGGTGTGTGGTGTCGCCTCTATGCCCTCGTTGTGGTTTACTGGAGGAATTTGTTGTGCATCTTATTTTTTCTTGCCCTCATTCTCTTCAAGTGTGGAAGTTATCCCCACTGCGTCTTGATTTTTTAGCTTCTTCTTTTCCTTCTTGCTGGGCTGGCTGGAAGTTCTTGTTATAGAAGGCTATTCTTTCTTCGAATTTTGCGGATGTGCTTAGTTTGATTTCTTTTTGTGCTTGGGGTATTTGGAAAACTAGGAATCGGTTGGTATTTGAGGGGTTTTTATGGAGGCCCGAGGTTGTGGAATAGAAGGCTGTTGCCAGTTTTTGGAAGTTCCATGATGATAGGTCCCTCTGTTCTTCCGACTATCAGTTTGGTGGATGTGTGGACTCTTCCTCCTTCTGGAATCGTTAAGTGCAATTTTGATACTTCTTTTTGTAGGCAATCTATGCGGGGGGGTGGTGGAGCCGTTTTCCGTGATTGTAGAGGGGAGGTGCTTCAAGCAATTATTTTTCATCCCTTTTCCACTTCTGCAGCTTTGGAGGCAGAGGCGTTGGTGTGTAAGCGTGCTGTTCTTTGCGCTATGCATTTGGGATTTTCTTGCTTATGGTTTGAGTCGGATGCTTTGGTGGTTGTGAATGGGGTGTGGCGTAAGGAGAATTGCCCTTTGGATATTGCTTCCATCTATTCTGACATTTCTCGGGACCTGCGGCTTTTTTCATCTTCTACTTTGACTCATGTTCGTCGTCAGGGTAATCGGGTGGCTCATGCGTTGGCAACTCTATCGAGGCCTGGGCTTGTCGGATCAGTTTTTGTCTTATTTATCTCCTTCTGTCGTCCCAGTGGCTGATGTTGGCTCTTAATCGGATTGTTTTTGTTTTGGTTCTTGTGCGTTTGTTTTTATCGGAAAAAAAAAATAATAATAATAAAATGGTAGTTGTGCAATTTCCTTGGGTATAAAGAAAGAACCCAGTCAGAGATGGGGTGAGACATTGACGGGTTCATTGTATATGCTTCTATATATATTCAAGCAAGGCATACAATGCCCAATGAGTAGATCAATGAGAAGTAAACATTACAATGAAGGGAAGGTTTACTTAAATTAGGGCAGCTGTCCTAACAACACTTTATTAGAAAAGACAACATAATCAATACATTCTGAGCCTCATAGTGCTATTCTCTTTTCTCTCCACCACTGTCCTTTCAATTGGTATTTGGTGGGTTGTCGTTGTCTTTATGGATAATTGAAAGCACTACTCATCCACAAAAGCTTTTTTATGCCAACCTAATTTATCTTTAAAGCATAATAGAGCCCTACTCACCAATCTTTGTGTCCAAGAGTCTCCATTTCAAATCTTTTCAGATTACACAGTACAAACAGTTAGAAAGCGCGAAAACCAATTCTAACCTCTTTGTAGAAATTTGCTTCCATTGAAGTATATATAATTAATTTTTATTTTTTTAATAAGAATCCATCACTTTGTTAAGTCAAGTCATTAGTGTTGCCTAAGCACAACCCCCATCATTAGTAGCAATGATCAAAACTTTGGTTAATCCAGGAATTCAAGTGCAAGAATAGTCACATTAAGCAAAAAATAATATTGTCAAATGTTAGTTTTACCACCAGATTGACCCTTCCATTACTCCATCCTAGTACCTGTCCTTCTTAAGGTGCTTCAAAGTACAGACACTATTATTTGCAAATGATTGAGATATCAAATTAAAGTTTGTTAAAAAATAATAATAAAATAAACAAATAAAAAGAAAATGAAAAGAGAAAGATATCAAACTAAAGCAAGCTCTTATATTTGCCCTAGTCCAAGCAGCTCCAACCATATCCCATGATGTCTTCTAGCTAGCTAGTTGTCAATAAGTGGGCACAGAGGGCAAAAATTAATATAAAAGTTTTAGAATGTAAAGGGTCTGCTTTCTAAAAACACTAATTGATAAAATAGGAACAAATAATTTTCTTTTAGGTTAAATCTATCATGAGGAGATGACCTCAAAATGAGATTGTCAGACTTGCATTTAATTTAATTTAATTTAATTAATTATTATTATTGGGTTTTGGGTTATAGTCAATGGTGTTTAATTAAACCTTGATGCGCATGCTTGCTAACAACACCAAGTTAACACTAGCTCAGGAAAAAAGAGAGAGTTAAATATAGTCCCTATTAAATTATTATTGGTAAAGTAAATTTAAAAAAAAAAAAAAAAAAACCCATAGATAATATGTGCAGTGTGGAATGCAGTCATTCTATATATAAGTGAACCTTAGATAGCAAAACAGGCAAAATAATTATGATATGGGCTTTGTGGGAATAATATCTAAGTAAATAGAATTTTTTTTTTTTTTTTTTTAAAAAAAGATTTAAATTGAAAATTAAGGGGCATCATGATAATTTTCACTTAGGTCCATGTTCTATACTGTTAACATTAGTCAATTATATATTAATCCACTAACTCCTTAGACTTATAGTGCCCCAACAACAGCAAAGTGGTCTCCCTCACCTTTTCTATTTCGAATTTTAAACTAAAAGGCATAAAGATAAGCATTCTTTATAATAAACTATTTAAGCATTAATTCTTTGTAATAAATTATCAATTTTCTGTTCTATCTCTAGCTAAGACTGCCACTTTAAGTAAAATATAATGTTGTGTGCAATGAAAGGAAAGCACTAATGTTCTATTATTCCTCTGAATGAGAGCAAAACCAGCTTAATTAGGAAGACCAAAGTTGCTGAACATTATGGGTCTCTTGCTTCTGAAGAAGATTGGTCTCCTCTTCCTCCTCATTTCAGCATCACTTCTCTCAACTTCACTTGCAGGTGGGTGTATTTGAATCTCTTGTTGCTGCAATTGTTACTGTTCGTAAACGCGGTTTCAGACGTTTTTACTGAAAAAGGGAAATGATGATCTTCTGAGAAACTCAAATGTTCTTAATTATTGAGTTTTCTTTATTACATTACTTAAAAAACCAAGTTCCAAAACCAAGGGGTACCCTTGTATTGATCCAAAAAATGCCAAAGATTTAGGGTTTTTTTTTTTTTTTTTTGGTCAACCAGTTAATTAGCATGTCATGGAAATTTTTTTTTTTTGGTTTTTTCTTTATTTTTTCCCCTTAAAATCTCATGGATTTTGCCTCAAAATGGAGAATTTTCATGGAAAATAATTCTTATAAATTTTGTTTGTTCATAGATATTGGTGCATGCATGGCATGTGATCTAGGTAGCTTTTCACGTTGAGTTTTCTTAATTATAGAGAGAGCAACATTTATATATTGCTGTAATAATGAAATTAGTTTGCCATTGATAAGTTTTAATTGGCTTTTTCAGGCAGACAATCCAAGTTTGTGAGCAAGTTGGCCAATGAAATGGGTGAAGCTCATGAGGTCTGTTACTCATCACTGGAAAGTCTTAATTTCTTCTCCTTTTTGCTCTTTCTAGTAGCTATATTTTTATATTGTTGTAATAATGAAATTTTGAATTGCTAAGTCGTTGGTCTCATCTTATTAGACGAATATCATGATTGGTAACTCTCTCTCTCTCTCATGTAAAGCTTTACCACCTAACTATGTGGTAGAAGAGTCATGCATGAAGCACACTGAAAACTTCCAACCATTAATTCATATATACATACACACACACACATATATATATATATATAGAGAGAGAGAGAGAGAGAGAGAGAGAGAGAGAGAGAGACAGAGACAGAGAGAGATGCAATCATGCAAAAGAAAAAAACCAAGTTGAGGCTATTGAGTATATGTCCGTTAATTTCTAGATGTCTTAATTATTTAAGGTTTTTTTTATTGATTTATTTTTGCATTTTCACAGGAAAAAGCATCAGAGGAGCAATTAAACCATGAGGAAATGATCACTACCATACATGAAAGGCTTCTCAGGGTTAACACCAAAGACTACGGAAAGTACGATCCAGCTCCAGCACTTGTCAAGCCTCCTTTTAAACTCATACCCAACTGATCATGATGTTGCTCAAGTCGTCAAATGTTGGAAGTCTATATATATATATATATGAATAAATAATCAAAACAATCTAGAGTATGGTATGCCTTTAATATATATTATATATATCTTCAATCGGCATACCAAGTTTCAGAGATGTTATTAGGATCAGCACATCCCTAGTGATGTGTTATATGGTTTCTTTTGAAGATGGTATGTGTGTATATGTCATATGATATATGTTTATACGTTATGTGGTATGTTTACAGTAGTCCTCGGCTATATCATGAACTGGATCGTATCCAAAATTTTAATATCTATGTAATTACGTATGGGGATGTTAAATTTTTGTATTATGTATCTCTGCTTGCTCATTTGCATTTGGATACATCTTAATTATTTGAAATACATCTTAATTTATTGGGTCAATTACCCAGATCTCTTATAAGGTTTGTCCAAATTAGCCACAGATGAAACTAGTTTAAACCGTTTGTTCACTTAATAACATTTGCCAAAGTACCGTTTTGTCCTTAATTTTAATAAACAAAGTTTGCTTTTGTATTTTTCCCTCCCCAAGTACCGTTTTGCCCTTAAAGTTTAATAAACAAAGTTTGCTTATGTATTTTTCCCTTCCCGTAACTAGTTTTTCATGGGTAGTGTGGAGCCTCATAAGTGCTGCACTCCTGAGCCCAACTTCACGAATCATTCATTTTTTTTTTTTATATTTTTTTTTTGGTGTGGGGGAGTGGGCAACCCATCTTTTCACTATGGGATTAGAGATCAACCATCCATCTTATGCTGCAAAAGCTATTGTTTGGGATGTTCTCACATATCTCAACATTAGTCCAGATAATATTAACTGTGTTTACTACTGGATGATGTGGATGTATTATTTGGTATTTCTTAGCATTTATTGGAAATGGGCTTACTCTAGCCCCTGACTTGTAAAAGGAGGTATACCTCGTTATGCACCCGTAATGTTCATCTTTCTTTTTATAAAATACCCCATTTTAGAAGAAAAGAAAAAAAAAAAAAAAAAAAAAATTCCTTGCAACCTGTGGACATAACCTTAATTTTTGAGTAAACCACGTAAAATATGTGCGTTCTTGCTTGTGTGTTTGATCTATGTTCTGTTAAGCACACAATAATTGGTATGAGAGCAATTAGGTTCAAGTGGGAGGGATGGGTACAGAAGAAGGAAAGATCGAGATCAACAAGTTCAATGGCGCAAATTTTGGGTTTTGGAAGATACAAATTGAAGATTATTTATATTGGAAGAAGTTGTATCACCCTCTTTCAGGAACGAAACTAGTAAGGATGAAGGACGATGAATGTACCCTTCTTGATTGGCAGGCACTAGGAGGTATTCGATTGATAATGTCTCGCAACGTAACTTCAACTTATTAAAGGAGAAAACGAAAGCAGGTTTGATGATGACCCTTTCAAATATGTATGAGAAATCCCATGCGTCTAACAAGGTATATTTGATGCGTCAATTATTCAACTTGCGAATGTCAAAAAGGATGTCAATAGCTAACCATCTGAATAAGTTTAACATAGTTACAACTCAGTTTAGGTCTGTAGAAATCAAGTTTGATGATGAGATCTGGGTGTTGATAATTTTATACCTTTTAGTAGAAAGCTAGAACGATATTGTTACAGTGATGAGTAGTTCTTCAGGAAAAAGTAAGTTGAGTTTGATGATGTTCAGGACATCATTCTCAATGTAAAAATTTGCATTAGGAAAATAGGGGAATCATCTTAATCTGCTCTACTCACCAAGGGCAATGGAAGAGAATCTAAAAGATCAGACTCGGACCGCAGTAAATCAAAATCCAAACATAGGAGCAAGTAAAGAACTAAAAGTTGTTAGAACTATGGAAAGAAGGGGAATTTAAGGAGAGACTATCAAGCACCGAAGAAAAATGGCAAAGAAGAACGGGAATCTGTAAACACTGCCACAAAAGAGGTTGTTGATGCTATAATTTTGAGAGTAGATAGTCCGGTTGAGTCATGGGTTCTGGACCTAGATGCATCATTTCACTTTACCCCACATCATGAAATTATGGGGAACTATGTTAGTGGTAATTTCAAAAAAGATTTATTTGGCTAATAATGAACCTTTGAATATTCTGGGTAAAGGAGATGTTCGTATTAAACAACTTAATAGGGTTATATGAAAGATTTTGAATGTGAGGAATGTTCTTGGCTTAAAGATAAATTTGATTTATGTGGAATAACTTTATGATGAAGGGCATGTAGTAAACTTTGTGGGTAGTTATGGAAAATCACCAAAGGAGCCATGGTAATGACTTGTGGAAGTAAGACGAGTACTTTCTACATGACAACAAATACCAAGAACATCGTTGTGGTTGATAATGCAGCCGTAGATTCAAACTTTTAGTATTGTAGGTTGCGTCATTTGATTGAGAAGGGGATGAAGGCAGTGACGAACCCAGGAAATTATGTCGCCGCGCGGGGGGGGCGTCCTTTTAATAACAATTTTTTTTTGATAATTAAACAAATTCATTAAAAGCGTTCAAAAAGGGAACGCATCCCAAAAACAACAAAAGGATCCCACTAAACACATTTACAATTCAAATCATCATAATAAGCAAAAATATTTTTTTTGTTCATTGAATCATTGAGCACATTCATAATTGTCCTCGACAACTTTTCATATTTTGAAAACGTCATATGAAAACTTCATTATCTATGCCACTAGATATCTCCTTTTCAATATATACTATCAAGCTATCACTCATCCATTCATCTCCCATTTTGTTGCGCAATCGGTTCTTCACGATATTCATAATAGAAAATTCCTTCTCTATACTAGCAGTTGCAACTGGTAGGATCAATGCTAATGTCACAAGCAAATAAACTAGTGAACGTATCTTGTTTCTTTTGGTTTCCACCATTTTTTTCCGCAAGGTCACTAATCCCTTTTAATCCTTCAAACTCGCTATTAGAACGCATATCCGCAATATAATTCTCAAGTTGATCACCAAGTCTCATGAGTGCATGTGGAGAAAATTCTTTTGGATAAAATTGAGCAAGGCGGATTAGTTTTTGCTTTTCAAAAGCACAAAATGAATCATCCAGACACAAGCAAGCCACACAAAGCAACAACTCGGAACTCATTTTAGAAAAATGACTAATTAGCTCTTGAAGTTGCATATCTATGATGGAATAAAATAAATCAACACGATAATGATGCAAGTTCGACTTGTCATGAGCTTTACATTGTAGTCTTCCTCGAGGTTGAAATGTATCATCCATATTAGGAATAGGAATGTCATGTTTCACACAAAAAGAAGAAACTTCATTGAGTAAAGAATCCCATCCACTTTCCCTCATCCTTTGTTATTGAACCTTGCTTAATTTGACCAAGGACATAGCAACCACAATATATTGATCTTTCTTTTGAAGTGCCTTTGACAAATCATTTGTAATTCCCAAAATAGCTCTCATCAAATGCAAACAAAATATGGAGTTAAAGGATTGTATAAATTCCAATAAAAGATTTACTTCAAATTTTTTTTTCTGATGACCCATCCTCTGCAAGTGTCTTAAGTACAATAACAATAGCTGAAAACATAATAATCACGCTAATCAAAGTGTCATAATGTGAACCCCAACGTGTATCACTAGCTCATTTAAGAGAAGTGTTTTGATTTATGCCTTGCCCACTTGAAAGCTCACCACTGTTAAGTGCCTCGGTTACTATAGAAGCTTGCTTCTCTCGAAGAATATCACAAACTTTACATGAACCACCAACTATATTTATAAGATTAGCAGCAAAAGTGAAGAGAGAAATAATATCCTCATGTTTTTTTGCCATACCCACGAGAGCCAATTGGAGTTGATGGGCAAAACAATGAATGTAAAAAACACATTCATTCTCCTTCAAGATGAGAGTTTTGAGACCATTGAACTAACCTCGCATATTACTAGTGGTGTTTGCCGTCAATCCAATCCAAAGTTTGTGCACCAAAAGATAGTGGTGTAGGGCTATGATGAATGTGGCCAAGTTTTACATTCAGAAATTGCCACTACTACCTTTTACTAAAAATATATTAAGGCGAGTAAGGATCGTCCCAAAGAATTGGTGGGTCGTATTAGGTTGTGGAATCGAGATTAGGGTTAATAGGTCGAGTGATCAAAAGATTGGTTGGTGGTTGAATTACACTAAGATGCAATTTAAACTAAAGTATGCAATTAAATGTAATGGAGAGAAAATAAGAGAAAGATCTTGGGATTTAGAGATCACCACTAAGTATAGCTTTTCTACACCCTTAATGAATGATTAATGAGGGAGAAAACATGTATTGCAACATAGTGTGTGTGTGTGGTTGTTTCAACAAGCATGGATGACAAATTAAGCATATGTAATACCCCTAATTTTAAAAGGATAGTCTCGGTATTTATTTATTTATTTTTATTGTATTTTTTTAATTATTTAATTGATTATTTGACTAATTGTTTATGTGTTTAATTGAATTAAGTGTTACTTGATTAATTGGCTACTTATCTATGTGTTATTTGTATTTTGTTTAGGTGTTATTTGTATTATTTGTTTAATTAGATTGTGCACTTAAATTATGTATTTGATTAATTGTAATTAATTATAAATTAAATGATTAAATGTTTTATTTTATTTTATTTTATTTTATGGTTATGATTAGTGGTAATGGACTAACTAATTGGGTCCCACGGACTACTTGAATAGGAGGTTGGATGGGTATGGATAATTACCCATGGATAGTTGTATATGTATATATATAGATATATATGTATATACATATATATAAAAAGGAAAGTAATTTATTAATATTATAGTAACTTTAGTATTAATAAATAATCTGATGTATATATTTTATATATTTATATAATAAGGATATACATATATTTTATACGTAACATGTTTTAAGTTACCTTTTTAATATTATGGTAACTTTAGTATAAATAAATAATCTGATGTATATATTTTATTTATTTAATAAGGATACAGATAGATTATATACGTAACATGTTTTAGGTTACTTTTTAATATTATAGTAACTTTAGTATAAATAAATAATCTGATGTATATATTTTATTTATTTAATGAGGATATAGATAGATTATATACGTAACATGTTTTAAGTTACCTTTTAATATTATGGTAACTTTAGTATTAATAAATAATCTAATGTATATATTTTATTTAATTAATAAGGATATACATAAATTATATACGTAACATATTTTAAGTTACCTTTTTAATATTTTTATTTTTTATTTTTCTTTATTAAGTTGACTTGGATTGGGAAAAGGAATATGGTTATTATTTAGCCTATAAATACACAACTATAGGTTGAAAAATGAGTG